AACAAAACCGCCCAGGCCTAATATATATATTTCCCTTGGCGATGTGATTACTGCACTCTTCTTATTCTGAGTTACATTCAGTTTTTGTCCAACATCACAACTGTGATTACTTTAGTTTCCAATATGCAACCTTGATTCAATAATCAAAATTCAACAGAAATCTGTTTCTTAACATTCAGAACCTTGATATGTGGAGGAAATAACATGAATTTCATGAATAAAACCCAGAAAGAGGAATAACTCTTATTGACATGCCATATTCATTTTCATGTCTTCATGAAAATGAAGGTGCAGGAAAGAGGAGGTAAAGCTTGGAGGGGGAGGAGGAGGATGGAGGGAAAGAAGGAGTAGGAGAAAACTACTGAGGCTCTCATGATGCTTCACAGAGCCCCAGGGGCTCCACGGAGCACACTTTGAGAACCATTGCACTGTCTTCACCATCATGAATAACACTCTTCCAAGCAAAAGAACGTTGATGCTCACTTTTACATTTACATTCCTACATTCCTAATTGTAAAAGTGAGCATGGAAAATGAAACATTCTGTATCTCAATGCAATGTAAATAAAGACAATTCCAAGTTCAGCTCTTTTCTTCCAGGTAGCTACCCAGGGATCCCATCTATGTTTGTGTAGTAGAAATACCTGTCTCATATTCACCTTGTTAAAGTGGCTGTGCCATGTAATGCTCTCCTCATTAATGGATAACTGTCTATCAAGTGTAGATCGAGGATCCATTCTTCCAACTTTCACTTTTGAGAGTGATTGGTTGGGGAAAGTAACCCAGTTGATGATATCAAATTCAGCTATCAGTTCACCTTTTTCATCAAAAGACACCTTGTCCCCAGCGGTGTTGTTGAATGAGATTTTCTCCAGGAAAGGATAAAGCTAGATCAGAAGACAACAGGTTAAGTTTACAAAAGTGGTGGAAAGTGACAATATTTGGCTCTGACTTTTCATACAAGAATACACTTATATTATTTTCCTGACATTTTGGATCCCCCTCAATCTGTGACAGTGACAACAGCCTGACTGGGGCTTGTTCCTCAGATGCTTTTGAAGAGGTTTCCGGGAAGGGCGGGGGACGGGGACGGGACGGGACCAGGTTTGAAGATATGAAGGGCAGAAATGTCTTGTCTTGAAGATTTTGATTATGACATTAGCGAAAAGACAGACACATGGTTCTTGTGCTAGTGAGGCTTTATTCAAAAGACAATGGAACAGCATGGAGAAGCTATAAAACTGGATACTTTCAGTAGTTGCAAGGAAAGAGTATGCGCAGATAAGACTCTAAAATCACAGGCTTCCCTTTTTTGCTTCAAGATGAAGAAATACTGTCTCCGAACAACCCAATTTTCCTGTATTACTAGATTTCCCTATATCACATGTGTCAAACTCAAGGCCAAATCCAGCTCATCATGTCATTTTCTGTGGCCCTCTTCCAGATGCTGGACAACAACTCCTGTATTCCTCATCATTAGACATTGTGACTGGAGTTGGGATACAGTAATGCCTGGAAGGCTAGTTTGTCCTGTTTAGTCAGGATAAAGGGGTTTGAATGTAGACACAAGGCTTGTGGAGCTGATGTTTGACTTTAAAATGTCATTTATACTTTCCCCACCTCAGAGCCACAAGTGCTGTTGGATTGCAATTACCACAATTCTCAGTCCGTATGGTTCATAAACAAAAGTGATGGGACTGTGGTTTAATAACACATGGGAGTACAAACTGGGTAAATACTAAACAGCACCAACCACTATGTTAAAAATTATAGTTGGTCCTCTGTAAACATGGTTTCTCCATCCATGGATTCAGTGGCCATTTGGAGGCAATCATGGGCTCATGTGGCCGGTGATGAAAATGAGTTTGTACCCTTGCCCTACATCAATGTTTCTCAACCTGGGGGTTGGGACCCCTGAGGGGGGCTCATGAGGGGTTTTCAGAGGGGTCGCCAAACACCATCAAAGTACTTATATTTCTGATGGTCTTAGAAACCTCTTTGGCAGAGAAAGCTGAAGATCTCTCCACCCACCATGGAGAGCATGAGAGGCTGGAGGGAGGCTCATGCCAGTGAGTCCCTTCAAGGCATGGGGTCTCTGTGTGGGAAGTTTGGCCCAATTCTATCATTGGTGGGGTTCAGAACGCTCTTTGATTGTAGGTGAACTATAAATCCCAGCAACTGCAACTCTCAACTGTCAAGGTTTATTTTCCCCAAAACTCCACCAGTGTTCACATTTGGGCATATTGAATATTTGAGCCAAGTTTGGTTCAGATCCATCATTGTTTGAATCCACTGTGCTCTCTGGATGTAGGTGATCTACAACTCCAAAACTCAAGCTCAATGCCCACCAAACCCTTCCAGTATTTTCTGTTGGTCATGAGAGTTCTGTGTGCCAAGTTTGGTTCAATTCCATTGTTGGTGGAGTTCAGAATGCTCTTTTATAGGTTAACTATAAATCCCAGCAACCACAACTCCCAAATGACAAAATCAAACCCCCCAACCCCCCAGGTATTCAAATTTGGGCATATCGGGTATTTGTGTCAAATTTAGTCCAGTGAATGAAAATCCATCCTGCATATCAGATATTTACATTACGGTTCATAACAGTAGCAAAATTACAGTTATGAAGTAGCAACAAAAATTGTTTTATGGTTGAGGGTCACTACAACACGAGGAACTTGCATTAAGGGGCCATGGCATTAGCAAGGTTGAGAAACACTGCCCTACATTGTGAGCTACATAGGTGAGACATCTGTCATGGTGCACACTGTAAATCTCTATGTACAGTAACAGCTATTTTATATAAATATTTCTTATCAATATCAATCCATTTTATTTGAAATTGCTTTCTGTATTACCTGATGCGGAGTAGAAGACTCTAAGTGTCCTCTTCCTCTCATTGCTCCATGTTTAATTCTTGAAGAATACATGGCATGCAAAGCATGTGCCACAGCATAGACAGCATTGTAGATGCTATAACTATGACTGGTCATACTCATTTCAAAAAAAGCACCAGGAATGCTTTCCATTTTCTCATTGCCAGTGCATCTTCTGTCAGTGTCCTCTGCCATCCCTATATAAGGAAATGAGCAGCCAAATGCTTGCTCCCAGAAGACCATGATAAATCCATCTTCACTGGAATTGGGATTTTGGGCATGAAGGAAATTTTGGAAGCCAGGTATCTCAGAGGAATGAACTGCAAGAGATAAGGTGCCATGGAAAACATCTACACCCTTCATTCTGAAAAAGGGCACCATAAAAAAATCCCAGTGGGCTGTCATAACCCACACTTTGTTGACAGGTCTCTTAACATCCATCACAACCAGATTGAGCACCATCTGCAAATCTAATATCACATGAGCATCAGCATTTAAAACACATACTTTAACATCTGGTTTGGTCAGCAACTTAGCTATACTGAGAAAGGTGTCATAAAAGTTAATAACTCCCAAAATGCTACTCTGGAGTAACATTCTTACAGTGAAAGCAGTACAGATGCCCTTCTGGGAAAGCATATGTGTCAAAGTCTGCAGGAACTTTTCTCCTTCATCATCACCCATGGCCATGATCCCAACCCATTTCCACTGAAAATGAAGAAGGAGCTCGACAAGTCCAATATACTGATGTATTTCATCCGGAACCATGCGGTATAAGAAGGTACGCTGAGTTACATCACTTTCTGCTGGAGTGTACAAACATAACATGATCTAGGAAGGAATCATGCAATAGACAAATTCTCAAACACTTGTTCTATTAGAATAATAAGTCTTATTATTAAACTGGGAGAAGAAGGAAGAAATTCTGAGTGGAAAAGCAGGATGACAGGGGAATAATCAATATGCTGTGGAGTAGTTATACCAAAATATAGCGGGCTGCAGTATCCCCTGGGGTTTGGTTTCAGGACACCTCCCTCTTGTAGATACTAAAATCTGTGGATGCTCGTCCCATTTTATACAGTGGTAGAATCAAAAGGGTGTCTCTTATATAAAATGGCAAAATTACAGTTTGCTTTTGGGATTTTTGAAAATATTTTAAGCAGTGGATGGCGGAAGATGAAGCTAAATCCAGACAAGATAGAGGTACTCCTCGTCAGTCATAAGGTGGATCAAAGTGTGGGACTTCAGCCTGTGCTGGATGGGGTCGCACTCCCCTTGAAGACACAAGTTCACAGTCTGGGGATGATTCTGGACTCATTGCTGACCCTGGAACCCCAGGTGTCAGAGGTGGCTAGGAACACCTTTGCACAGTTCAAACTTGTGTGCCAGCTGCGCTCATACCTCGAGACACCAGACTTGACCAAGGTAGTCCACACCTTAGTCACTTCCCATTTGGTCTACTGCAACACCCTCTACGTAGGGATGTCTTTGAAAATAGTTTGGAAGCTACAACTAGTCCAAAGATCAGCAGCCAGATTACTAACTGGAGCATCATGCAGGGAGAGAACCACTTCCATACTACTGCTTCCAGGCTAAATACAAAATGCTAGCTATTATCTATAAAGCCTTAAACCAGTGGTTCTCTGCCTGTGGGTCCCCAGGTGTTTTGGTCTACAACTCCCAGAAATTCCAGCCAGTTTACCAGCTGTTAGGATTTCTGGAAGGCCAAAACATCTGGGGACTCATTGTTGAGAACCCTAAATAGTTTGGGTCCATGCTATTTGTTCAATCACATCCTCCTATATAGACCATCTCATGCACTGCAGTCAGCAGAGGTGGCTCTGCTCTTGGTCCCACACACGTTTCAAGCTCGGTTGGTGGGAACAAGAGAGGGAGCTTTCTCCGTGATTGTTTCCTGTCTCTGGAACTTCCTCCCTAAAGAAATAAAAATGGTCCTCACCCTCCTCTCCTTTAAGAAACTTCTGAAAATGCACGTATGCACCCTAGTGTATGGAAAGGAGGAGGACTAAGATACTTTAATCCACCAGAAGCTTGGTGAATCATTTACACTATACGATGACTACTACGATATATTTTTTAATAAACATCTTTGTTAGCCATTTCAAATGCAATTTATTTGAACTGCTTTTAATGATATAGGTTTAATGTTCATTTATGTCTTAGTTTCATTGTCTAATTGGTTTATTGCTACCTCGATCCCATTTCAATATTTATTTTTTTCATTGTACATTTACTATTGCTTTTTAAAAAAAATATATTTATTAGAACTTTTTCAAAATAACATAAAAAGAGTGGAAACATATCGGTGTAAAGGGAAGTAGGAAATATAGGCGGAAAGTGGGTAAAGGAAGATAAAGGGGAGTGAATACGGGAGAGTAGGAGGGGAGAGATGGGACAGAGAAAAAAATAGGTTTGGATTAGGGAAGTTGGGGTGAGGAGGGGTCATTTACTATTATTGTAAACATGCTTCTGACACAATAAATAAATATTGTTATTGTGCATCATTTTGTTATTTCTGATGTTTGTACTTTGTAAGGCATTGAATGTTTTCCTGTCTCAGTATGTAAACCACCCTGAGTCCATTTCGGGAGAGAGGGCAGTCTAGAAATAATATTTTATTATTTTATTATTATCTATGGACGCAGAATATATGGATACAAAGGGTAGAATCTCTTTCTCTCATAAAAGTATATACATGAAGATCTCCGTAGTACATCCACAAGGAAACATGAAACTTATCTTTCCTTACCTGTGGGATCTTGTAGAGGCCCAAAATAGTAGCTATATAAAGGGAAGTTGCCGAATCCAATCCCCCAATAACAGCAACTGGGCTCTTCTGCATGTCACAGTGGTAGTTGAGAAAAGTCCTCTTTTGATGAAACACAAGGCTCAGGGTGTTCTGATAAGTGATCTGGGCATCATGGTGGCTGTCACGGACATGAAACCCCAAGGAAATATTGGGCAAAATGTTGTGGTTTTCATTGATTTCTTTCACAGCAAATACCAAAGACAGGACATGTTGATAATTTTTCAGGATTGTACTAAGGTTGAAGACACAAGACATTAGAAATGATGTTCTTTACACATATGACTTTTTATTCCTTATGGCTTGGGAAAATACATTCACTTCTTATCAGTTATTATACTACTTAAGGTGCATCAAAGAATTTGGCTAAAAACACATTTTCTAGCACCTTTCTTCCAAAACTAAGGTACAGCATTTGTGCAATAGATGTGAATTAATAAATATCCTTATCTGGCATTCCGAAACCCAAAATATTCAAAAATTCAACATTTCCACATGGATTTCAGAATTCCAGGTAATGAGATAGTGATATTAGTTGGGCCCCATCCCTCCTGGTCTTCAGGAAGAAGCTAAAGGTGTGGCTTTGTGCACAAACATTCAGCGAATAAGGTGATGGAATTTGATTTTAACCTTGCAGTTCAAATAATAACTTGAAATTTGGAAAGTATGATTTGGCACTCTGTTATATTGTAATTTGTGTTATAGTTTTATATATTTTAACTGTTTATATGCTTTAATTGTTACACAATTTAATGTGATATGTTTATGTTATTTGTACAATGCGGCATTGAATTTTTGCCACAGTTTGTAAAGTTTCTCTAAGTTCCCTTTGGGGTGAGAATGGTGGGTATAAATAAAGTAAATAATTAATTAATTAATAAACAAATACTTCTTAATTCACCTTCACTTTCCGATGGCTCAGTCAGTATAAACAATCTTTGTTTCATGCATAAAATTATCTTCAAATTTTGTGAATTTTGTGTTTGGTCTCATCATCAAGATATATTTATTATGTATATGTAAGTAATCCAAAACATAGAAAACTTTAATATGAAACACCTCTAGTTCCATGCATTTCGGATAAGGGATATGCAACTTGTATATCATGAATGGAGCCCTTACTGGTCTGGATGATCACTATTACTATAATAATAAAACAGTTGGGTTGTTGTAGATTTTTCGGGCTGTATCACCATGTTCTAGAAGCATTCTCTCCTGATGTTTCACCTGCATCTATGGAAAAACTAAGGACCAGGAAAGTACAACTACTGTGCTCTCTGACTTTCCTTCTACACTGCAGAGACACAGATACTATCTCACAATTTCTTCCAGCCAAAAGGACTTTCAAGACACCACAAGCTCACCGTATCTATGACCGCCTGAAATGCAAACTCTTACGAGAGAGAATTCACACCATTCACAAAGAACTGGCAAACACAGACAAGGAACTGTTGCATCTCCATATCAACATCAGCCAAAAGATAAATTCACAGGACTGGGACAAAATAGACAACCTCACCTACAGAAAAAATGGAGAAAGACATGGCTCTCCACACCAACAGACAAAAACAAAAATTCCACATGGGGATACCTGTCATGGATGCAGGCGAAATGTCAGGAGATAATGCTTCTAGAACATAACTTTACAGCCCGGAAAACCTACAACAACCCAGTGATTCCGTCCATGAAAGCCTTCGACAATAAAACATTTGAATGCGGTGTCTCATCAGATTTGCCTTTGTGCCTTTGACTTAGTTAAATACAACCCAGTTTTCCACTTTTGGAGAACTTCGTAGTTTTCACAATATATCCCTGAAAGGCTTCATGTAATTATATGATAAAGAACCAAAGAATATCTTCAAAAGGCAGTCGTGTCTGAGCTATCATGTGTTCTTGTGGCATCATGCTAAACAATAACATACTAGGAAAAAAATTGGGTTATAGTTCTTCCCAGCCTTATGCACTGCACCATACTGACTATTTTGATCCTGTCGCTCAGCAAAGATAAATAGGATATGTACACGAAAGCTAGAGAGTCAGTTTGGTGTAGTGGTTTAGGTGCTGGACTAGAAGCCCAGGACTGAAATTCCCACATGACTATGGAAACCCATTGAATGACTTTGGGAAAGTTATGTACTCTCAGACCTCTAAAAAAATCTTGCCAAGACAACCTAGTGAAAGGTTTGCCTTAGGTTTGCCATAAATCGGAAATGACCAATGACAGATACGGAAGCTGTGTATGCAAGAATATACCAGGGAGGCTTGAGGATAAACTAGGAAAATTGTATAGAGCCTATGAAATGGTAGAATTCGTTGAGATAATCCTCAGAAGGAAATTTTGTATTTATTCTGTGTTTATTGTATTATTGAAGGCTTTCATGGCTGGAATCACTGGGTTGTTGTAGGTTTTTCAGGCTGCATGGCCATGCTCTAGAGGCATTATTTCCTGATGTTTTTCCTGCATCCATGGCAGGCATCATCTGAGGTATCTGAGAGAATGCTTCTAGAACATGGCCATATAGCTCGAAAAAACCTACAACAACCCACTGTGTTCATTTTTCTGTAAAGCCTTAACATAATAATCACCTCACTGTCCTAAAATTAGAAACAGAAGTAATACATTTACTGGATAAGCAATTGCTTGTAGTATCTATCTTGAATTATGCTAAAACAGCCTTATTATATTATAATATACCATATCACATCACATCATATGGAAAAATAGAACATTATCTTACTACGGTTCGCCATCATAATTTGGAACAGGTTGTGTTGTGAACTCTGTTCCAGAAGCAAAGGAGAAGAGCTGAGAAGTCATCCCACCAATGACAAGATCCCCTGGCTGATAATATTGGTATCGAAC